AAATCTATTTATAACCTATCAAAAATCATGGGCATAAATATAGAAATGGAAAGTTTGAGAAGAAAAGATATCATTCAATGCCACAGATGCCAAGAAWACGGACATGTCCAAAGAAACTGCACTGCAGATTACAAATGCCTAAAATGTGGAGAAGGACATTCAACCCACCTATGCGACAAAGAACGAACCACCCCCGCAAAATGTGCCAACTGTGGAGGGCCGCACCCTGCAAACTCAATAAAGTGTCCTAAAAAACCCCTGAAAAAACTACCTGAAAAAATAATGACGTGGAGAACCCAACAAATCAACACCAAAACCATAGAAGAGATACAGAAAGAGCAAAGAGAGGAAAGAAGAAACGAAAGAAAAATCGAAGAAAAAGATATCAGAAACACCAAGCAAGATAACAAAAAGAAAATAGTAACAGAACTGTCGGAACTCTTACTTGAAATCGCCGAACTAAAACCCACAGATGAACAAACAAACAAAATGACAGCTCGCATCGGACACATACTGAAATTATTGTAAACAAAGTAAAGGAATCAGAAACAAAAAAAAATAATCCCTAAACAAACAAACAAATGAGAAGAAAAATAGACAACACCACCATAATATCTTGGAACTGTAACGGAATCAAAACTAGGAAAGACGAACTAAGGGCCCTTATTGAAGAAAATAACCCTGACATAGTATTATTACAAGAAACACATTTAAAACCAAATCACAATTTCAAAATAACAAACTACATGACATATTCAAGAGAGAGAAAAGACAAAATAGGAGGAGGAGTAGCACTTCTAATAAAACGAGACATCAAACACCACCCACTGCCACCGACAAACGAAAACTCAACAACAGAAGCCACTGGAATAGAAATAGTAAAAAGAAATAACCAAMAACTTCAAATCAATTCAATCTACATCCCACCAGGCAGGGAACTAGAAGAGGAGGAAATAAACGAAATCCTTGAAAGAGGAAATAAAGTCATCGTAGCAGGAGACCTAAACGCAAAGCATAAAGAATGGAACTGTAAAACCACAAACCCAAGAGGGAAAACACTAAGAAGATACATAGAAAACAAGAACATTCAAGTAATGGCACCTACAGAAGAAACTCACTCCACAAGAGGAAAAGGAGACATTTTAGACATAGCACTAAACAAAAACATAACCGACACCGTAGAGATTGAAGTACTAAATGACACGACGTCAGATCATCAACCRATTAAAATTACAATAAAAGGAGAGGTAATTAAAAGAAAAAGATTCATACACAACTGGAAAAAGTTTAAAGAAATCCTAGAAGAAACAACAGAACTCAAGGAAGTCAAAAACAAAGAAGATCTGGAAGAAGAAGTAAGAAATCTAGAAGAAACAATCAAGAAAGCACTAGACGAAACAACTAAAGAAATA